GCCATGGCTCACGGACCCAGCCTCTCTGCGGCATGTGGGATCCTCCCGGACCGGGGCACGAACCGATGTCCCCTGCATCGGCAGGTGGACTCTCAACCACTGCGCCACCAGGGAAGCCCCAAATGAACAATTCTGAAAGGCCCAAACCCATCAGTGACGAGAGTCTCCTGGCTCAAAACTAGTCCCAGCAGCTGAATGTCTGAGCACCACGGCTAGCCTAGGAATTTCTTTGAATTTTTTGGAAGAAACAAAACCCTCCCTAGAACCACTGTGTGGTTCACCTTTCAATTCCCCAATCACTGAGCCTGGGCCTCAGGCAGAGTTTGAAGTTAGCTATTTGATCATTCACTTGTTTCTCCATCAGGCCCCAGCCTTAAAAAAAAAAAAAAGAAGGAAGGAGAAAAGAAATAGGCCTCTGGATGCAGCAGAGACCATTAGTTTCCCAGCCCTCTGAATCTTTACAGGAAACTGGATTTGCCAAAGCTCCCTTCAGGCTGAGATGGAGAACACAAAAGAGGTCACTTAGGCCCAAAATACATAAAAGGAGGTCAGAATGGAAGGGTCACTGCACCCCAGTTCCCAGAATTTACTCCTCTGAATGCCTGCCTGGAAACGGTTTCCAAGCGTTAAGTTACAAAGGGGAGAAAATCCCACGCCTGTTTCCACTCCGGCTGGTCCTGAGTTGGAGCCCCACTGCCCATCTGTCCCACTGCCCTAGTCAGAGAGGGAAGAAAGACCTGGTCCTTGCCTCCCAGAAACACAGACTCTGACTTGGATCACACCTCACAACACTTAAGTGGCTCCTGTAAAGGCACTACCTACACCTGTCAGACGTGGAGTTTCCCAGCTGAGATCTGGAAGGCGGCGTCTACCTCAGTTTGCCCATCTGTCAGATGGGTGAGCTACCATCAGCCCTATTTACTTTGCAAAAAACCTGGTCAGGATGAAAAAGGAAGCAGTGGGAAAGGGCTCTGCAAAGGACTGACTGGGTCCACTGCCAGAGCAAGGACAGGCCTCTGTGTTTCACAAGCCTCAAGGTACCTGCCCTCACAAACCCTGGCCCACTCCTGGATCCCTGGGATCGATCGCCACCCTCCTCCACCATGCTCCTCATCTGGGAGGCTGCCTGTGTGGGCTGCACCCCTGGGCTTCCTTCCTATGTGAGGAAGTTCAGCCAGCAGGTCGGGGGAGGGTGAGGGCGGGTGTTTATCCCCTGACACCTTCCACCTGGCACAGTGGACTGGCTGCAGGCACCCCAAGACCACAGCTACTGTCAGGGAGCACTCCCTCTCTGTCTTCCAGACCTGGGGTGGCTACACCTCCCAGCAGTCACCAGCCCAGCCCTACCCTGGCCCTTGTGGTTCCCTGTAACTTGCCCACGCCGTGTAAACAGGCCCTTTTATAAACCCCCCTTAAATCACCCACATCAGATGTTCCATCTGTACCCAGCCTTTATCTCACCTGAACCTCACCAGCGACCCTGGGGGTTCACTGGCTCTTCCCTTTCCTTGTGGGGCTAAAGGGTTCCTATGGCCTCATAATAATAATAATGGCTGCCAGCATCTTTACCCGCCTCATCTCACTTAGTACTTATAACAGCCTCTTGGGGAAACTGAGGGTCAGGGAGGCTTTCACTTGCCCAGGGCCAAACAATTTATAGGTGGTAGGGTCAGGATTTGCACCCAGGCCATCTGACCCCATTGCTTACGTTTAACTGTCACCCCCTACTGCACAAACCACCCCCAGCCTTTCTTGTAGGGAAGCAGCCATGTGCTTCCTCCATACACGTGTCTAGCCATGTGGCCACAGGTTCTCCCTGACCACCTAATCTCTTTGTTGACTAGCTGTGTGGCTCTGGAAAAATTACTTAACCTCTCTGTGCCTCGGTCTCTTTACCAGTAGAATGGAGATATAATAGTACTTACTTCAGAGATTCATTGTGAGGATTTAAGGAGTCAACATGTGTAACATCCTTAGGGCCTTACATATAGAAAACACTCAATCCAGGTTACCCATTATTATTATTGTGGTTATTTCCCAACTTACCAAAATTCTCTCCCCCCCAGATGTCCATCTGGGCATCATACTTTCCCAAGTGGTTAAACCAAGACTTGTCAATCACGAAGATTCCACCAGCTATGACAGGCGTCCTGGGAGCAAGGAGAGGAAAGAGGCAACACATGAGCTGGAAAATCTGAGCCCCTCTAGACGGCCCCAGGGCCCAGGCCATTTGCCCTAGCATCTCCCACTTGCAGAGTCACTGGGGTCGGATATCTGGCCCACTTGTTGGCCTCTGGCCTCTCTCTCCCCAGGGCCCAGAACAGAGTTAGCCCTTGGATCATGCACCCCTAGGAGCCCTGGCAACTGAAATGGCCCTCCCAGGAGCCTCCAAAGCCCCTGACTCAGGGAAGGAAGGGGTCTCTCCAGAGCCCACAGCAGTCCTGACCTTATGGGCTTGGTGGGGTCTGTCCGGGCAATCTTCTGCTCCAGAGGGATCTGCTCCCACTTGAAATGCAGGCTCCAGTCAAATCCTAAGGGCCAGACTAGGGTGAGGATGGGGCTCGGGGGCTCTTGTCCCCTCGCTCCACCACCCCCGAGAGTCTCCCTTGATCAGAACCCAGCTTGTAGAGGGCCCTGGGCAGTTCATGTAGTCATTCCTTCATTCAGAACGAGACAGGTCCCTGTCCTCATGGAGATTCAATCTACTGGGTAAGACAAAGACTTACAAAGATAAATCAGTAAATGGATAATATGTCAGTTGGGGTTGAAAAGTGCTAAAAAACAAAAAAAAGAAAAGAAAGGAGGGGTACCCATGCTATTCTAGTAAGGGTAGACAGGAAAGGCTCTCTGAGGAGGTAACATTTGAGTAGAGACCTGAATGAAGAACTCATCCATGCAGACATGTAGGGAGAGGGAATTCCAGGTGGGGGAACAGCAAGTGCAAAGGCCCTGAGGTGATTTTCCTAAGGAGAAATGCCTGGCTCCCTTCAGAATCCCACTCAGCCTCAACATCTAACTAACGACTGTGTCCATTTACTGGAAATCCGAGCCCCAAACAGGAAATCCACTCTGCGCATTAGCTCCTGGCAACAGATTCTCTGGAGCAGCCTGCCCAATAGAACTTGCTGCAATGACGGAGATGCCCTATATCTGCACTGTCCAACATGGTAGACACTAGTCACATGTGGTTATTGAGCACCTGAAATGCTGCTAGGGCAACTTAGGAACTGAGTTTTGAATTTTACTTAATTTCAATTAATTTATATTTACATAGCCAAAAGTGGCTATTATCTACTGTATTGGACAGCACAGTTCTAAAGTCTAGACCAGAGCTGCCCAAAAGAAATACAATGCAAGCCGGAGACGCAAGCCACACATGCAATTTAAATTTTTCCAGTAGCCATATCAAAAAGTAAGATGAACATATGAGATTAATTTGAATAATGTATTTTTAATGCAATATATCCAAAATACTATTATTTCAATCATTATCATTGATGATCATATTCATAATCAATACAAAAATTATTAATGAGATATTTTATATTCTTTCATACTAAGTCTTCAAAACCTGGTGTGTATTTTTTCTTACAGCATATCTCAGTTCAGACTGGTCACATTTCAACAGCTCAATAGCCAAATGTGGCTAATAACTACCATATTTGGCCAGGTCTAGACCATTTCCAGGAGTACAGGTTAGGAAACTGTGCAAAGTTGAGGGCTCCCCCTTCCTCACCCCCAAGACAGCAGTCATATCATGTTATTCTGTGAGGACTTGTGGCAATGGTCCCCGAGCTGGCAGTATTTGAGAAGGATGTGTCAAAGTTTGCAGGGAGGGAAAGATCAGAGACTAGCTTGGCTCTGTCGCTGATTGTGCCAGGAGCCTGCAACTGCCAGCTCTGGCCCTTCGTCCCCAACCCCATGGCTCTACACAATCCCCTTTCGTTTTCTAGGGGTAAAGGGGGTGCGGGTGTGAGACGCTCTGGCACGGCTGGGAAGAAGAGCGCCAAGCCAGGGCTTTTGCCTGCCCTCACCTGCCTCCTTTCAGGTCTAGAGCCCCTGCCCTGGGAGCCGGACCCACCTCCCCGAAGGTCAGCAGATGCAGCAAGGTAGGCGAAATTATCCAGACTGATGACATCAATGATGGGGCTCACCACGCGGGTGTGATCCTAGGAGAGGACACATGAGATGGCGTGAGGCCAGGGACTCTGTGAATAGAGGCCCAACTGCCTGCTCTGTGAAGAGGTTCTCTTCGAGGCACTGGGCACTCAGCACCTCCTGCAGGACACGTTCGGCTCCCAGGAGCTGTCCTGCATCACCACATCTAGGCTCCTGGAAGGTCCCTCTTGGGTCTCATGGGCACGATGCTCTCCCAGCCTCTTCCTCTCACATCATGTTGAGCCCTGCCAGGATCTCACCTCCTCAGTAAAGCCCTCCCTGATTGCTGCAGGCTGAGGACTTCCTCTTTCAAACTGCTCTCACAATTATAGACCAGACAATTCCTGGGACAGTGAATCAGATGCTGCCTGATGTGGATCTTCTGTCGCTGGTGTGAACTGTTGTTTGAGGTTGAGTCTTCCCAACTGGACAACCGGCAGCTTAAGGGCAGGGACCCTGCAGCCTCCGTGTAACCTGGGTGGCACTCCTCTCATGCCACATCCACTTCAAAGTCAGACTCACACTCCCTTCATCATCTCCCAGACACAAATCCACCCCCAAAACATTGGTGGGTAATATGCCAACTTTACTAAAGGTTTTTTTCTGGGGGTGAGGGGTGGGGGGATAGTGGTGGTGGTGGATTCTATCATATACCACGTGCAGAACTTAATTGCCCTCCGTCAGCAGGATGTCTGTTCTCTTCTTTTCTCCCTCCATGGAGGGACATGGAACAGAGTTTCTTCTCCCTCCTCTCTCTGCATTCTGTGCTGACCCTCAAAACCCTCTTGTCTGCAACTTGGAATCCAGCTCTGCCCCTCAGTTCACACTTCGTCTCAGGACGACAAAAATGTGGGACGTGGCAGATCAGGGGAGACCATCCACAGTCTCCCACAGTGTTCTATGGGGGCCTCACCTTATCCTTTTTATAGACTTTTTGTATTGAGATTTAATTCACATTTTTATAACGATTTTATTAGATATAATTGATATACCATAAAATTCGCCATTTTAAAGTGTACAATTCAGTGGTTTGTAGTATATTCACAAGGTTGTGGCAGCGTCACCACTCTCTAATTCCAAAACATTTTCATCACCCCAGTAAGAAACCCTGTACCATTAGCAGTCACTCCCCATACCCCGCTCCCTCCAGCCCCTGACAACCACTAATCCACTTTGTATTTCTACGGATTTATTTATTCTGGACATTTCATATAAATGGAATCATATAATATGCAATTTTTGTTACTGGCTTCTTTCACTTAACATAAGGTTTTCAAAGTTCATCCATATTGTAACATGTATCATTACTTCATTCTTTTTATGGCTGAACAGCATTCCACTGTATGGATATATCACATTCTGTTTATCCATTCACGGTTGATAGACATTTTGCTGTTTCCATGTTTCAGCTATTCTGAATAACACTGCTCTGAACACTCAGGCACAAGTTTTTGTGTGGGGTATGTTTTCATTTCTCTTGAGTATATACCTAGCAGTGGAATTGCTGGGTCATATGGTAACTCTATGTTTGAACTTTTGAGGAAGTGCCAGACTGTTTTCCAAAGTGGAAAACAGCACCATTTGACATGCTCCTCAGCAATGTGTAAAGACTCCTATTTATCTACATCCTCACCAGCACTGGTACTGTCGATCCTTTTGATTATAACCATCCTGTAGGTATCAAGTGGTACCTCATTGTGGTTTTGACTTGCATTTCCCTAATGACTTAACGTTGAGCATCTTTTCAGGCGCTTGTTGACCATTTGTCTATTTTCCATTGCGGTGTGCGGGCTTCTCAATGAGGTGGCTTCTCCTGTTGCGGAGCATGGGCTCTAGGTGCCCGGGCTTCAGTAGCTGTGGCACTCGGGCTCAGGAGTTGTGGCTCGCGAGCTCTAGAGCGCAGGCTCAGAAGTTGTGGCACATGGGCTTAGTTGTTCCGTGGCCTGTGGTATCTTCCTGGACAAGGGCTCGAACCCGTGTCCTCTGCATTGGCAGGTGGATCCTTAACCACTGTGCCACCAGGGAAGCCCTTTTCTCATTTTTAAATTGGGTTATTTGCCTTTTATGGTTGAGTTGAAATCACCTCATCCTATGTTCCATATGTCCAAATCCTCCCCATTCTAGAGAACAGCAGGCACATGGGAGGCCCCCCCAGGCTTGAGAACACCATTCTCTCCTCCCTCCTTCTCAGGCTTCCCAGCCTGACTCACCCTCACTCATCACTCCCTCAGGAGGAAAACAACGCCACCCATTCGTAGTAGGAGCTTTGTGGCTCACCCAGGCTTTCAGCCAATTTAATTCTCCCCACAACCCAGTCAGACAAACATTACAATTATCCCTGTTTTCAGATGAGAAAGCCCAATGAGGTGAAGTTAGTCAGGAGGGAGCAGACCATTTAGGCTTCCTATTCTGCCTGCCCAACTCCAGAGACCGTTTATCATCCCCCCTCATGCCAAGAACGTGTGGGCACGTCCAGGGCTCCCCCAGGGACAGACAGACTTACCTCCTTCACCCGCTGCAGCATGGGCTGCAGCCACTCGGTGTTCACTTCGCAGTGGCTGTCCAGAAAGGTGAGGACAGCAGCTGCGGCCACATCTGCCCCGCGAACTCGGGACCGGATCAGCCCTGCAATGGGAAGGGACAAAGGATGGTGCTGGGACTGAGCCAATTTGCTCAGCCATCCCCCCAAAGTCTCAGGGCTCTCCGCCCCTTAGGGCTGAGGTTTCCTCTGAGTTATTGTGATTTAACTTTACTTCGTATTTCTTGATTTCTTCCCTCCCTCTTTTTCTTTCTCTCACCCATCCATCAACCATCATTACTCCAAGGTTATTCTCTGAGTGCCCTCTGCATGCCAGACCCTGGACTCTGGGGACATACTGATGAACAGTCAGAGTTTAGTGAACAGAAGTTGCAATAAAGTGTGGTTTGGTACCAAAGGAGAGCCAGAAACCACCACTTAGGAACCTCAGGGTGGTCCCCTCCAGCTGCACTATCCTCTATGACATGCAGAGAGTCTTCTAGACTAAGACAAGCTGGAGTTGGTATGCCAGCCCTTTCACTAACTGTAGCATATTATTTAACCTCTCTGAGCCTTAGTTTTCTTATCCAGAAGATTCAGAGAGAATAATCCCTGCCTCTTGGGGACAGTGCGCGGTGCCCAGGAAGCCGACATGTGCAGAGATTCTACTCTGCTTCCACCTCACTCCCCAGTCTTGTCGAAGGCTCGTCAACTGTCCGAAAATGGCCTCGCTTTTGGCAGCACCCTGGTCGGAGCTGGGGACTTGCCTGATCAGGAAGAGGAGATCCAGATGGTCCTGCCCCTGACAGAGCAGCCACTGGTGTGGGGAGATTTCCCTGGCCACACCTCTGCCCGGCACTCTACTGCCCCATCCTTCTACTTCACAGGGAGCTGTAAAGCACCTAATCATAAATTTACATCTATGTTGGGTAAAACCCCAGGGAACAGCATACTCCCAGGCCTAAAGGCACCTGCAACCCAGGGCTTGGGAGAGATCTCTCTCTGGCCTCTTGAATTCCAGTTTGAAGGTCCCTTCGGCCTGACTGGACTTTCTTTCTTTTCTTTCTTTCTTTCTTTCTTCCTTCCTTCCTTCCTTCCTTCTTTCTTCCTTCCTTCCTTCCTTCCTTTCTTCCTTTCTTTTCTTTCTTTCTCTCTCTCTCTCTCTCTCTTTCTTTCTTTCTTTCTTTCTACGTTGGGTCTTCGATGCTGCGCTCGGGCTTTCTCTAGTTGCGTCGAGCGGGGGTTACTTTTTTTCATGGCGGTGCGCGGGCTTCTCATTGCGGTGGCTTCTTTTGTTGCGGGGCACGGGCTCTAGGCGCGCAGGCTTCAGTAGTTGTGGCTCGCGGGCTCTAGAGTGCAGGCTCAGTAGCTGTGGCGCACGGGCTTAGTTGCTCTGCGGCATGTGGGATCTTCCCGGACAAGGGCTCGAACCCTTGTCCCCTGCATTGGCAGGCGGATTCTTAACCACTGCGCCACCAGGGAAGCCCATGACTGGACTTTCTTAGAGATACCCATCACATCTCTTTCTTTCCTTCCTACCTTCCTTTCTTTCTTTCCTCCTTCCTTCCTTTCTTTCTTTCTTTCCTCCCTCCCTCCCTCCCTCCCTCCCTCCTTCCTTCCTTCCTTCCCTCCTTCCTTCCTTCCCTTCTTCCTTCCTCTCTCTCTCCCTCTCTTTTTCTCTCTCTCTCCCTCTCTCACCTTCAGTGGCTCCCTATTCTCTGCTTTATCAAGTCTAAATGCCCCCCCGTCATCTATCCTCACCCCACTCATTCCTCGTGCTGACCAGGCCCAATTCTCCCAGGAAGGGAGACTAAGTAGAGGGAGGTTAAAAGGCTGGGCTCTGGGTGGGCCCCCTGCCCCGGGGTGGAGTCCTGGTTCCTTTATTCGTCACTCCAGGCAAATTACTGAACCTTCTTAAACCCCAGTTTCTTTATTTGCAAAACAGAATGATGGGCTGTTATGAGGACTGAACATGAGAATGTGGGCAGTGAATGCTACAGGGTGAGAACGCAGGAAACGTAGGAAGAGACTGTTAGTACTTCCTGTACCCAGGCCGGACCGATGCCTTTGCCTGCAGAGCCCCTGGGCCTGGAACGCCCTCCCTTGTGCCCTATTCATCTGTCTCACGACCCCTTCACCCAATCCAGGCGCCCTCTCCGATCCTTCCCCTCTCCGCCATCTCCTTTCTACCCCATATAATTATAACCAGCCTCAGCTCCATAACAAGCTCTCCGAGGGCACTCCCCTAGAGTGCCGTGTACAATCCTATGCTGTAGCCGGTGCTCCAAAACACCTCTTGATTGGAAGTGAGGTCACATCTGCTTTATACTGCCCTGTGGTTTTCTCAAAGCATTTAATCCTTACAATAACTGTGCAGGACAGAAAGGGTACTATCATTATTCCCATTTCTCATGAGAGACAACGAAGGCAGCCGGAAGTAGAGCTACTTACCTACAGTCATACTGTGATAGGGGCTGACCCAAGATAGCAAGAGGGTCTTGCCCCAGACCTTGGTCCTGGCCACCAGGAATGCAGCAGGACCACGCTGGCTTGGTATGACATGGCACCAAAAGGGAGCGGGGAGGTGCAGAAGTCTAGATCAAAAGAGCTCTGCGGTGGCACCTAGGGTCCAAGAACTTACCTTCCCGCCGGTCGTTGCGCAGGCATTTGACCTTGGTGATCCTGGTCAGGAGAAGACAGTCTTCAGCTGAGGGTGGAGAGAAGGAAGCAAGCTCATTCAGATACTGACGTCAGACCACATGTGGTTCGACCACTAATGGAACTTCCCAGGAGCTTCTCCAGACCAGGCCCAGGGGAAGGCGAGGCACGGAGAGTGGCCATCTCCACTGGCCAAAGGATTGCCCTGTCCTCCACTCCCCGGCCAGACTGAGGACTGCCTGTACTTGTGGCATTACCCCCCAGGGGGCACCAGAGAGCGCCAGCACTGTCACCAGTCCAACAGCCTCGGCGCTAGATTGTGGGGACAATATTCTGCACGTGGCAGTTGTGATAATGAAGGATGTTGCTCATGCAGTTTAATTTTTTTTTTTAATGTCATCTCACTGGTGTCCCATCAAAGCAACACCACTCCTTTTGCACCAGGGAGCAGAGCCAGGGAGGGCACCTAGAAAAGACTGAAGATCCCCATGGGGAGCAGAGGTCAGCCTGTGATGGCCAGAACAACCCCAAGAGTGCTTCCCTTGGCATTCTGGGGAAATGGGGTGTGAAGGGGTGCAAAAAAAGAAGGTGCATACTTACGATCTGAACTGAAGTCATCAACTAGAATGATCTCCTGGATCAGGCTGGCAGGAGTTCTGTTCAGGACGCTGGAGGAGTGACGGGGACAGAGGAGCCCAGATTTAGGGGCCACCTTCTACTTCCTTCTTGCTGCCACGGGTTCCCCCACCGCCCACCTCGGAAGCCAGCACACTGGCCACGGGCAGCTGCTAGCAAACCTTCCGGGCCCTGGTCAATGGCTGAGGGGCAGTGTGTTCCTCAGGCTCCTCCAAGACCCTGCCGACCCTGCTGCCTGGACCCTCAGGGACTTGGGACCCACCCCAGATGAGGGGTAGGGACTGCCCTAGTTTAGCTGTTGAGGCAGGACCTTAGCTGCTCTGGCTACCTGGGCTTAACAAGCCCACCTGAGGACAACCCCCGCTGGCCCCGAAGCTGTCTGCTTGGAAAGCTAGCGAGGCTCCTTCTGGCCTGATGGGTCAGGATGGGTGTTCTCAGAAAGCTCCCCCGCCAACTCTTTCC